GGCTCACCTTTCTACCAATGAGCCTGCTAGCAGGCTAAATTTTAGGCAATTTTAGGCAGGAAATTAGACAGGAATTTCCAGTTTCGGTCATTTCCGGTTTCGGTCGTTTCCGGATTCGGTCGTTTCGGTTTCCGTTCTTTACAGAGACCCCATATTCGACTCGAGTTCGTAGAATAACTGTTAAATATGCGTAAAATTATTGTACCTGTAATATTCGCACAGATATAGTCGACTATAAAATGTCATATGTTTATGTTGCATTAAACTTTCTAATTATAATTCTGGTTTCAAATTTTGTTTACATTGTGTGATTTTGACCCCGTAGTTTAGACAACGTTTTCTCGCTCAATATTGTAGCTACAGGAATATAGCTCCTACTAAAATGTAGCTGATTGCACCAGATATCTGACAATATCCGTAAATTATTGTACCTGTAATATTCGCACAGATATAGTCGAATAAATGGCATATATGTTTATGTTGCATTAAACTTAGTTTCTAACTATAATTCTGGTTTCAAATTTTGTTTACATTGTGTGATTTTGACCCCGTCGTTTAGACAACGTTTTCTCGCTCAATATTGTAGCTACAATATTCTAGCTCCTACCAAAATATAGCTGAATTCACCAGCTATCTGACAATATGCCTAAAATTATTATACCTGTAATATTCGCACAGATATAGTCGAATAAATGTCATATGTTTATCTTGCATTGTGTGATTCGTTGTCTTACATGTGACGAGCTGAGGGTGTCAAAATTACTGTCGGACAATCTAATGTGAGTTTGACTAATGGTCGAGGGTTGAGGGTAATAGGTCGAGGGCGAGGGTAGAATGTCGAGGGTCGAAAAAAATGTCGAGGGTCGAAAAAAATGTCGAGGGTCAATTTTTTGACTCTATAATTTGTTCACAATTTTTTAGCAACAGAATCAAATACTTACCATTACACATACGAATCACAATTAACTTGCTTTAGCCCAACGTCAATGTTTTAGCCCTATTATGGAATTTGCCATGGCGCAGAGTAAGTATGCTTCGCTATTAAACGCAAAGTTTAGTTTGAACAAACAGATATGTTTTATACGCCGAGTTATACTAACGAATAAACCCTATTTTGATCATTACGAACTGATCAAATTTCGATCGCTGCAGTCAACATGACATGCCATTTGATAAACATAACATAACCCTTTGCGACCTTTGTGCACTCATGATTTGTGCACTCACGATCCACAAAAGCGATATATATTACTGTAGCTATGGCATCGTGGCAAACGTTTACAGACGACAAATTGTCTCATGTGCATGCCTACGGCAGCAAACATTTTTCGCACAGATTACTTTCCGCTCGTGTTCTAATTTCTTGCGCCTATGCCTATGGCTCCTTTCCTCTGCGCGAATTTGATTGCTGCGCGAATTTGAATACAAGTATTATTCCATGCATGGCTGGGGAATATAATTTAAAACCTGGGAATATTTCAACATTAATTTTAAGTTAATTGTTATATTTCCTGAGTTAGTTATGTCTCATTGGCGCAACAAATTCGCAGCAAAATGAAATATAACACTGATACGTCGAAGTGTCACCCCGGATGTTGGGATTTGCATTCAGTTCTAGATCAAAACTTGCGAGAAATTGTCATTCGACTAGGTCACCCTAATCCCATCCCAACCCCTCACATCTCAGTCCCCCCCCCCCCGACGTAATTCTAGAACCCCTCGCCCATTAAAAATTCTTTTCGCCTTGCCTACACGCAAAGTACGATCTATCAGTAAATAAATTTCATTTTTTACATTCCGTAACCGTAAATTACCACATTACGCATGAGATTCTTATCATTTTCACCCATTACAAAGAATACATACCAAATTCAACCAATTTTCACACTGTTCCTAGGCGAAATAATCAACAGATTTTTTCGCGCAAGCACATGTCATACATGTATAATTCATATAAACGGGAACAGAAATGAATATTTATATGCGGGCACGTAGTTCCAAGACCAGCTAGCGGGGTCGAAACGTGCTTTCCCGGTTATGCTTGGAGCCTGATGAGAACATAACCTTAGTTTTGAACACAAAACACATGGGACTTGACCTGGGTGGCGATACATTGGCATTCACCCAGGTCTTGGCATCATCATAATACATCTCACATTATAAACGCACCCGGGTTATGCCTGCGCGATTTTCACAAAAACAATCAATCGAGTCATACACGTCACAGTTTTACTATTCATGTCTCATTTTAGCTTGAATGTTCAGACTTATGTATCACTTATATTTCATATCATTTTACAACTCATATATCACCAGTATCATCACTTTATATCTATGTTATAAATCAAGCTTCACCAACATCAGCACAGTCCATGCATCATCATAACATAATTCACTAAAATCATCATTATCTATACCATTCTATCAGTCACATTGAATCGAAATTTCATTTCACTCCACCCATCAATTGATGTTCACCCAATAAAATGTCCCAACAGGTCAGCAGGGCCATTTCGCAGCATTCCAGGATCTGAATACCTGCAACCACCTTTTTGATCCAATTCCAAAAGAAAAACAAACAAAAATTTGTTTTGATACGTGTCGGTACGTTACGCTTGAAGTGGAAAACGGGCTTAAATGTTGGCGGCGTTATTCGACACGACACTCATTGCATAATTACCGGTCCACTCAAGTCGGGGCATTCATAATACGACAAACTTTAAGAGTTTCATCCCTTGTCACGTATTTATATTGTTGCCGCCCCTATTTCAAATCCCGCGCGTATTCTGCGAACGGGCTGTCAGGTTCGAAGTTATATAAGCTAATAATAGATCTTAAATAAATAAACTGAAAAACATACAAATACAAATCAACTTATTTGTTGTTATTATATGTTCGACTATAGGAGTATTATTATTATTATGTGACACATTAGTGTAATGTAGTGAAATAATCAATTAAAACACAGATCAACGCTTGGGCTTCCTGTGCATAACGCAGTATATTGTTCATACTCTATATATTTTTGCGTGATTAAATTCAGATTCTCAATTTTGCTTCCTAAATTAAGTATTCGTAGTATATTCATTCTTATATACTGTGTGTTATTTGTGTGATTGAACTGAGACACATGTCAGCGAGTCATGGATCTAAGTTACATCAACATTGCTTCCTTCTCAACATTGCTTCCTTAAAGTATTCGTAGTATACGGTATATCATTCTCATATTAGTCATATATATACTGTATGTTCTTTGCGTGATTGAACTGAGACACCTGTCAGCGAGTTTCATCTATCTGCCTCATCGTGTGAAATTATTTCTTAACAACCGTTATAATGCGTCCAGTTGTGAACCGACGGATATTTTTGTCGAAGCACTAACTATTTAATTCGTAAAGTACCGCGTAACGTATATACATGCACTAACACCAGCCGCTCTGCGGTTGAGCAGGCAACAGGATAAACATTTAAATTAAGCAAATTATTTTCACATTCATACAGAATCAAAAAGGTAGAAATAAAAAAGCATTCTTCATTTACAGACGTTATAAACATAGGGTGCATGATGTGACATGATATTGAACTAAATTGAAACTCTTGGCCCTCGAAATGATGTTTACCTCTGGTCTTTCAAAACAGTTGTCAATTTTTTTTGCGTGTTGGTGCAATGTTTCAGCCTGTCTGACGTGGATATATACTCAGAGTATAGGGATTGGTCATAAAGTAACTGCTAGGTAGGATGGAGGTAAATCACAAATTTTGCCAATAAATTTGGTGACCCATCTTAGGATGTAGATAAAAATTTCAAAGCCCATCTAATCTTGCCAAATTTATTTCATGACCCACCCACCCAATCTAAATTGGGAAAATACAATTTTATAATAAAAAAACATGCAGGTATGAACATTGTAAATATACACTGACACTGTATTGACAAAAATAATTCCATCAAGCTTGACCAACACATTCATCACCAATTACGATACTGAGTTGCTCTCCAGCTGGTTGTATTTGCTGTGATTCGACCACTTCTTGTTGTTGTATAAACCAAAGTACTGGCTTCAATAGCATCATTTGCATTTGACTGATTTGGAAAGTTTTGTTTACTTTTATTATTAATATATTTATGTAATATATAATTAACATGGGTTTTTGTTTGGTGGCCCAACCGTGGACAAACCAAAAAATTGGCAGCCCATCGAAACTGCCCAAAGATTTTCCATGGCCCATCCCAAATCAGTCCAGCCCACCCTAGCAGTTACTTTATGATCGGTCTCTAACATCAGAAACATCATATTCACCTGAGTACATAAAACCAACGCGCAAAATAATCATGATTACAGAATACATTGGTATTGAAGGAACTAGACTTAATTCCGAAATATCACTTAATAACCGACCTGACCGCGAAGCCTCAGTTGGCAGAGCATTGGGCTTAGTGGTATTCCAAAGGTCGCACTGTTTCGTTTCCCGCCGTGGCCTGCAGGCAAGCAATTATTTTTAATACTCCACCAACATAACCTGGTAATTAGCCTGCTCAGCAGACCTCATGACGAAATTTGCGAAAGTCTACGCATTAATGCCATGATTTGGTGTAAAATTGCAAGAACGAAGGAATTTCCGTTGCGTTGGGAATTTCCGTTGGCACCCAAGGTGCATGTTAATAAAGCGTAAAAGTTAAAATACTGCTTCTTTGCCGTGATGCATGGAATATATAATATAAGCTAAGGAATTAGGAGGGAAAAGATTGACAAACGGAGTTGTTGTCAGTTGAGAATCGCATTGTATGCAAGTACCATAGTGAGTTTATAACAGTAGCTATAGTAGCTACGAAATTTAAAAATAACAAGCGGACATAAAAGCGAAACATCCGCCCTCCAAAAGTGAGTAACCCCATGCATTCTCCAATCATAGTTGTTGAAATTTTTTGTTGAAGCTTTTCTATCAGGCAAAAAGCAACTGCATGGAATTTAGAAAATAAATTATGTGATGTGGCCTACCCCATTAGCTGTCAGGATTAAAACACTCCTTCCAATCACTTCAGCAAATGCCCTCAATATCATTGACGTGGCATAGTTTTCTTTTAGCATGGCTAAAGCGCTGCTCCAAGAGGAAGGCTTCTTTTTATGTCCAATGTCTTCATCGCAAATGTAATCCATTCGGTCGTTGCCATCTTTCTGCAGGAAACCAAATTCAATTCAATTTGATGGTGACTATTTTATTATTATTGAGTGATATACCGTAGCGAAGCATGATATCCTTATATATGATTTAATTCTACCCTATTTTATTGAATATTGATACTTCTAGTTTCCGTAGGCTAGAATATTTCAGGTTTGACTATGCTAGTGTAACGACTGTCTTTGAATCAGACAACTGTATTAAAATAGTCGACAGTGTTTAGTTTTTAATGAATGATAAAATCCGAGCGCAGTTTGAGCTTGCAAATCATTAGATTTATTAGTAGAATACTTAGAAGGACGACTGCACAACTCATCTGAAATATATATGCGAGGCTTCCTGAGTTAACAGCCAGGCTTACAGCAGTCACATTTTTTATCACATCATTATCAAACTAAATCTTAGGATAAAAAAAAGTTATACTTACATCATAACGATTACTCTCCAAGTACTCAAACACCATATTACGCACAGTCCTGGAAGACAACCCCAACTGAAAGCCAGCAGCCGAATAAAAACATAGCCCATCGCCGGGAGGATTATACGAAATCCTTAGTCCAGCCTCTGCTATTCTGTTCTGAAGTACTTCCATTTCAACACAAGTTTTATACCTTACTGCAGCAATGCGGCAACTGAAGACGTTTTTAAGAGAAAGCTCGTCTGCACGTGTATGCGTTAACCAAAGTTTAATCGCAAGTAAGGTTCGAATGACAATTTCTCGCAAGTTTTGATCCAGAACTGAATGCAAATCCCAATATCCGGGGTGACACTTCGACGTGTCAGTGTTATATTTCATTTTGCTGCGAATTTGTTGCGCCAATGACTGATAACTAACTCAGGAAATATAACAATTAACTTAAAATTAATGTTGAAATATTCCCAGGTTTTAAATTATATTCCCCAGCCATGCATGGAATAATACTTGTATTCAAATTCGCGCAGCAATCAAATTCGCCCAGAGGATAGGAGCCATAGGCATAGGCGCAAGAAATTAGAACACGAGCGGAAAATAATCTGTGCGAAAAATGTTTGCTAGCTGCCGTAGGCATGCACATGAGACAATTTGTCGTCTGTAAACGTTTGCCACGATGCCATAGCTACAGTAATATATATCGCTTTTGTGGATCGTGAGTGCACAAATCATGAGTGCACAAAGGTCGCAAAGGGTTATGTTATGTTTATCAAATGGCATGTCATGTTGACTGCAGCGATCGAAATTTGATCAGTTCGTAATGATCAAAATAGGGTTTATTCGTTAGTATAACTCGGCGTATAAAACATATCTGTTTGTTCAAACTAAACTTTGCGTTTAATAGCGAAGCATACTTACTCTGCGCCATGGCAAATTCCATAATAGGGCTAAAACATTGACGTTGGGCTAAAGCAAGTTAATTGTGATTCGTATGTGTAATGGTAAGTATTTGATTCTGTTGCTAAAAAATTGTGAACAAATTATAGAGTCAAAAAATTGACCCTCGACATTTTTTTCGACCCTCGACATTTTTTTCGACCCTCGACATTCTACCCTCGCCCTCGACCTATTACCCTCGACCCTCGACCATTAGTCAAACTCAATATAATGTATGGTTTAGGCACGAGTTTCAACCGCTTATATTAATTCGAAATTTAACGATATTCACCCCCACTGCAGATGGTTTGAATGCTTGTGAAAATGCCTACATTTTATATATATGTAATGCCTATATTCCTGTAGCTACAATATTGAGCGAGAAAACGTTGTCTAAACGACGGGGTCAAAGTAACAAAATGTAAACAATATATTTGAAACCAGAATTATAATTAGAAAGTTTAATCTCAGTTATTAACTGTGGTTTAATGCAACATAAACATACGACTTTTATTCGACTATATCCAGGGACGCCGGAACAGGGGGGGCAGGGGGGGCAGGGGGGGCGGCTGCCCCCCTTGCCTTTTGCTAGGGGGGGCAGGGGGGGCAGAAGTGCCCTTTTAGTTGTAAAATAATACGTGATAAATCACATTTCCAACGATGCTTTTTGTAGGAAAATCACGAGATTCAGGTAATTTATAGTTTATATTTATAAAAATTTGGGGAAATTTTTGGAATTTAGAAAAATATTTTGAAGAAATGGCGAAAATTTAAGATATCCGGAAAAATTTTTGGCTTCACGGAAAATTTTTGTATGTCCGGAAAAAATTTTTGACCCCTAAAATGGTACACTGACCGAAAATTTTTTGGCGACGGGGGGGGGGGTCGCCAAAAAATTTTGCAGTGAAAAAAAATTTTTCCGTAAAGGCGCCCTTGGTGTGCGTCCGCCCCCCTTTGCCCTATTATCGTTCCGGCGTCCCTGACTATATCTGTGCGAATATTACAGCTACAATAATTTTACGTATATTGTCAGATAGTTGGTGAATTCAGCTACATTTTGGTACGAGCTATAATATTGTAGCTAGAATATTGAGAGCGAATTCGTTGCCTAAACGAGGGTGTAAAAATTGCCGTCGGAATACACATTCTGGTCGTAGTCTGTCGGACAATATAATGTCTGGTTTAGGCACGAGTTTCAACCGCTTATATTAATTCGAAATTTAACGACATACACCCCCAACGCGGATGGTTTGAAAGCTAGTGAAAATGACTACATTTTAGTTGGATTTATATTCAGGTTAGTAGAAAATTCGCCGAGAAAATGTTCGCAACACACTGTTGTTATGCCACGGAAATTCAAAAATATCTATTACATTTTCAAAATCTCGCCTTGCTGCGCATGAAAACACACGCATTTGAAGCTTTCAAAATATATAGTTATAAACCTTTAAAGACACAGTTGAAACGAAAACGTATTAAAATTGAAACGGCCTAGTTTGAAAATAATGATTTTCTTGAAAATCCGCCATTGTCCATTGATCGCAAGATCAATCAAGATCTCGTTTCACCGACACAGTATATCAAAATCGAGCTTAATTTAAGTCAACAGTAATCAGTATTGATAAATAGTATTCACTATAAAAACTAACCTTTAATCTTTAATCTTTAATAGCATTACCTTCACTGTGTTTCCTCCAGAATATTTAAAAATATAGAATATCAGCCTTGGCAGCCTTGCACAAAATCCGATTTCTTGATGTTGTTGTTTATTAACAACTTAAGCCCCGTTTACAGCCCCGTTTACACTACACTCATTTTTGGCACGGCACTCTTAAATAATGGCACGCGGACCAAATTTTTAGGCACGGCACTCTTAATTTTCGGCTTTTTCGCAGTGTAAACGCAAAATTAAGGGTCCGCGTGCCATAATTGTTTGACGGGCCGAGACCTCTTCAAGGAGGTAGTCTCGGCCCGCTCAAAATATAGCACGCGGCCCTAAAACTAATTACGCATGCGTATTCCTTGAAAAAGAGAACAAGATGGCGTCAAAAACAAACCCTACTTACACTTAATTGTGCTCTATATATCGGAATGCCCCAGGAATATCGCCCCCTCCCCCTTTAGGATATTCGCCCCCCATATATGCGATGTGGTTTATTCAAATAATTTCGTGATACTAGCTTTCATCTTATTAGTACCTTAAGGTCCATACTGACCGGACGCTATTTGGCAACGCGACGCGAATTTTCAGTTTTCAATGATATTTAACTTTAATATTTTTCATTGTTTTTCAAATATTCCAGACCAGTTAGCAATTTTAGCTATTTGGTCTGCATACCTTGTAAAATTTTTATCCGTTGACGGTTTTATTTGTTTTCGAAAACTGAAAATTCGCGTCGCGTTGCCGAATCGCGTCCGGTCTGTGTGGGCAAAGACACGTTTGAGACTGAATTTAACTTTGCAAATCTAAAGCTTTTTTGTCTTTTTTGAAACGTATTATTGGAGTATTGGCAAGTTTTACCATTCAGAGATTTACAAACTAATATTGAAACTGTAAAAGACAGTTTCATGTATACGCGCATTCACTAATGAATGACAACTTATAAGCCATACATTTTCCGATGACGACAAAACGCTTGTGTAGCCTTTAGTTGCTCTCAGTGACTAACAAATTTTTTCGAGGGGGGGGGGAATGGGGGGCAAAAAAAATTTGGGGGCCATCCCACCCCCTGGCGCCGCCACTGCTTTTTATGTTGTGAAGCGCTATTCTAACGAATAGCGCCTCACAACATAAAAAGCAGTGGCGGCGCCAGGGGGGGGGGGGAATGGCCCCACATAAAAATACCAAACAAGTGCTGAATTTGCTGTTTTTACATCCTCCATTTTTTAAAAGTTTGATTTAAGGGCGCAGTATTTAAGCGGGCCGTATTCAAGAGTAGGGCCGTATTCAAAATTTGTAGTGTAAACGATGCTGATTTTTCAAGAAAATGGTCCGCGTGCCATTATTTAAGAGTGCCGTGCCAAAAATGAGTGTAGTGTAAACGGGGCTTAAAACATTTGTAGTAATTAGGGTAAATAAACATCTATGTATCTAGCTAATTTTTCTTGAAAGTACAGTAACTATTTAGAGCCTGGATGTACGTCTAGCAGTAAACACTAAACGTCTTAAACATTTATAGAAATTTCTTTAAAATCACTATATTTGCTTTGTCACTATTTGTCATTGTCACTCTTTAGCTCGCTAATTTGACTATTCAGCATGGTTCATACCTGGGGCAATTATTTACTGCAGCAAAGCACCTGCCTTCCATAACTACATGTATTTTAATATTGATTATTACATTGGCGTAACACCCTGTTGTAATTACCTTGTTGTTATATATTTTTGCGTTGGGATTTCCGTAAAATATATCGCGGGTAAGGCATCAGCACTAGCTTTGTGCATTTCTTATATTATTATGTTGCATTCATGCTGTTTTCATCCAGAAATCAACACCACCGTAATGGTATTTTACTACGGGGAGAAAAAACCCAGCACAATTCTCTATGACCTTGCATATACTATTAACTAAAATGCATTTTCGGCAAGCGGCTGAAACTCCAGCTGGAATTTACCGTGTACTAAGTCTATGAATTGTGTCTCCGAAATAACGAATTATGTTAGGGCAATGGAACAGTCGGCATTTTATCATTTTTGTCCGCATCCAAATTTTATCCTTTTCGTCCTTCGGTCCGTCCGTCCGCGTGTCCGTCCGCATGTCCGTCCGCATGTCCGTCCGCATGTCCGTCCGCATGTCCGTCCGCATGTCCGTCCGCATGTCCGTCCGCATGTCCG